TCTTGGGGAGGATGGCAAGGATTTCAATCCTTGCCATAATTCGAAAATCAAGAGGTTTAGGAAACCCTAATTTCGAAACTCGTAGGATAAGGGAAAGGGTTTAAACACTTTTCAAAATTTCGAAACCGAGGGTTAGGAAACACTAATTTTGAAAAAAAAAAAACCTAAGTCCAAAAGTGTTTAATTGTCATAAACCCTAATTGTTCAAATTCAACCAATTGTAATCAAATTCAATAGAAAACAAGCCAAGACTCTGATACCACTATTGGATTTTGAGCATAACAAACAATCATATATCTGCACCCTAATTTTTTTGGATATATGTTTTCTCTAATTGAACATAATTATTAAACATCAAAAGGAAAACCGTAATTGCACTATTATAATTTAGAAAATCATAACTCGAGTTAGTAAACATACATTTGATTGTTATGTGTCAATAACAATGAAAAATCCAAGTCTTCTTTAACCTTGGCGTCACAAGTGTCACGCCTCTAATGGTTCACACCCAAACTAATTAGGAGGATGAGAGAGAAGAGAGGGGAGGAGGCCTGAAATTTTCGGCTATCCTTCTATAGTTTAGAGTGGCCGAAAATGTGAAGCCTTATGGGTCTATTTATACTGCGGATAGGATACAATGGATAACCCTAATTTAAATAAAATATTATTAATTCAAATTGATAATTACCCACCTCCTTAATTATCTACTTAGGATAAGCTAGAAACCCTAATTATCATTTAGAAAAACCATCCACCACCTTCTAGGAAGGTTCTGGAACCCCTTACTCAACTATTGAACAATTACACTTTAATCCCTACATTTTAAATATATTATTTTAATCCCGAAACTATTTCCAATTATATGAATAAATATTAATTAAATAATATGATTTTTAATTAATATATTATTTTCATAATACATTAATAAATCATTTATTTCAATTTATCAATCAAATAATAAATTTCTCCTCTCTCCATATTTCATCTTGTCTAATTGCTAGTTATGATGGTAACCCAAAAGAACAATGCTAGTATAAATTCAGGTATATATACCAATTATAGTTATGTGCTTAGACACATAATCAAACATATAAAATATAAAATAATATTTTCATATATAATATTGTTCGTAGGCCTGTATACAATTTTTTTTTATTTAAATACACTACTTTGAAAAAAGAAATAAAAAGGAATTTTGATTTTTTACCACTAAATAAAGAAAAATTATATAAATATAAAAAGGGTCTAAAATATAAAAAAATCATAGAAAATAAAATCACCCACCTAATATATAATATTGATATCGACATATTTTAAAATATTAATGAATAAAAGATATTAAAAACAATTTTTATTAAAGTGTAAGAGACGAATTTGAAAGTATTTAAATTATTTAAAAAATTAAATATTATAATATATAAAATCATTATTATAGTAAGAAAACGAAATCAATTATGAATTGATGTGAACAACAACGGAACATGGTTCGTATATTTTGAATTACCCTAAAAATAAAGGGGATCACTGTTTCTCATTTATGTCGTCTTGATACGATATATAGTTGGACCTGAAAGTCACCACCCACAATTCACATGCTTACAAGGGAAAATACGATATATAGTTGGACCTGAAAGTCACCACCCACAATTCACATGCTTACAAGGGAAAATGACTTACAGAGGTAAGTATATTTCAAAAACTATCATCTAAGTTTAGGATGTTTAAAAAACACAATCCAAATAAAGAAATTGTAAAAAAAAAAATACAATTAAAGTTTATGTTTTGTTCAAATCCCTTTCGTTATTTACAAACAGCTGTAGGTAAAAGAAAAGTTATTAGCGGGAAAAAATAATTAGGGAAGAATAAAGGTGACATGACAATCTTGTTAGGATCAATGGTTCGATATTGGGTTCGATCGATCAACCCTCCGCTTCTTAAATAGATTTTAACAACCAATCGATTTTCATTCATTCTCAACATTGGTGTATTGATTTTTACAACAAATTTTCCCTACTACCTCCACCGTAACATAATTACACATGTTGACCACCTTGAATTTTATCGACATATACATTAAAAAAAATAGTTTTTCTTAAGTTAAGGAGCGAAAGTTGTTATATGTGACACGACTCATACGTACGAAACGTATATAAAATTAAGCACAAAAATGTAAAAACAAATTACATTGAAATATAGACAAACTCGAATATAATACATTTTTTTTTAAGTTAACGAACGGAAATTGTTATATGTGATCCAACTGAAGCATAGGAAATGTAAATAATGTTAAGCACGAAAACATTAAAAAAATATATATCGAAATTTAGACAAACTCGAATCTATACTGATACGTGTATAAAAAATCAAGTAATATTTAAAAAGAAAATAACGAACGAAAGTTCTAAAATCACGTCGGAACATGAACCACCTAAATTTTATATCGACACATATATCAAAATAATCGTGTAAAATAATAGTTTTTTAGGTTAAAGAACGATCGCTATTTTGAAAAATCAAATTATATATAGCTCGAGGATAAACATGAATGTTTAAAACTTGAATAATGAAAATAATATTTTACAAAGTTCAAACTGAAAGGTGAAAAATAAAATTTAAAAAGTAAATTATGGAAAATATATAAACTCTGAAACATAATATATAAGAAAAAATAATTACATTAATGGTCCATATGGCTTACCCAATGTCACAACCCCAATCTCTTCTACCTATAAAGACCAAATTAGCCTCGCACTAAGGATAAAACTTAGGTGTTAGCAAAAAGGATCATACATGCATATTTTGAAAACCACAGGGATCATGTTCGTCAAAAAATTAAAAATTTTGAGTTATTGATTTTTAGTAAATCATAGGGACCATTTATTTAATTTTGTCTATATTATATATATATTAAATGTTAATATATTAATGTAACATCCCGATGATGAGGTACTTATAATTTTGTCATATAATTAAATTATATTGCATTTTGGTCCCTAAGTGTTAGCTAGTGTAAAAAAAAGCGCATTGCAGCACTTTGGTAAAAATAGGGAGTTTTGAGTACGCCATATGTACATGTATGTACGCTAAGCGTACTAAGGTGCGCCTTAGTACGCTAGGTATACACTTCGTATGCGAGGCATACGTAGGTGGCATGCAAACCCTAATATTAGGGATTTGGCTCATACTTAAGTAACTTCATGGATACGGACCCTCTTCTTATCCATCCTCCTTCGGTGATTTCGACCCTCAAGCAACCCTATATATAAAGAGAGCCATTTCGAGCCTTAAAGTGAGTTTTTGGAGTGGTTTGAAGAGAGAAGAAAGTGATGAGAAGATCTTGGAGTTGGGCACACTTTGGATCTAGAATTTCTATTTGGTTTGCAACATCTTGAAGGTATAAAGCTTGAATCTTTACCACTCCATCTTATACATCTAGGTTTTGCTCTTTAAAGACACTTTTTGGTCCCAAAATGATGATTCATGACATAACATGTTCTTGACCCATTGAGTTGTCTTTTCAGTCCCTCGAAAGGATCTTGATTCATAAAAATGGGTTTCATATGGTTGGTTTTTCTCCATGCATCATTTAGAAGGTCTTAATGGATTAAGAAGTTAAGTTAAGCTCTTAATGGACATGTAAATTCATAAAGTTGGAAACTTCATGATTCTTGAGGATATTTTAGCCATGGATCTGAAAATTGGATGTGAGTGCTTAAGCCATTAGGTACTTAAGGAGTTTTTGGAAATTCTGGGAGTACTCCCTACGTACTTGGATTATGCCCAGCGTAGGAGGTCAACCACCCCAATGTTAGTCAGCATGCGAGTATGCCCTGCGTACTTATTCTGAGGTGACTCAGCTGAGTTGATTCGAGTGTATTGACTCGGCTAGGCTGACTTAGCTAGTTTGACAAGTTTGACTTTGACTTTAACCAAGTATGACTTAAGGGTGTTTTAGGAATTTTAGTATTTTGACTAAGATTGGTCATTTGGTTGGAATAGGTGACAATTAGCGCTAAGATTCGGAGTCGAGACCTCATCAACTTTTGTTTAGTTTGCGATGTGAGTTTTTCTCACTATACTTATGAGTCGAAGGCACCAAGGTCGGCCTATTAGACTATATATTCGGTCATGTGATAGTATGTTATTGTGATGTGGTGCTATGTTAGATCGGTAGCCTAGTATATAGGATGATGCTATGCTTAGTGTTCTTTAAGATCTGTCTGATTGTCTATTGACTTGGTTATATGTATGCTTATCTGTTATGTATATGTCAAAATGATATATGTGTGGTTGGGTTGAGGTAGACTAGTGTAGACTGAAGACCAAGAGGCCCACAGCGTCCCGGATAAACCGCATGCCTAAGAAACGTACCAGTCAGGCCGAAGGCCCGGAGAACGTTCCAGATAGGCTGAAGGCCCGGTGAGGTGTTCCAATCATGTTGTGAGCGTACTAGATAGTCTGTAGGCCGATGCGGCATTTTCGTCAGGCTGAAGGCTTTGTATGTATGTTGTTTGTTATTATGGTTATGTTATGTGATGACACTTTGAGGGAACTCACTAAACATTGGTTTATAGTTTTGGGTTATATTTCAGGTATTTCGGATGACCGCGGGAAGATGAATGCATGATCGTACACATCCTCTTGTTTATGACTTATGATTTGGGAGACTCTAATGTTTAAAATCTTTTGAAAACAATGATTGTAAAAAATTTATGAATTTGAGTTGGTTTTAAAAGTTTAAATTTCTTGTGATTTTTTATGGGTGTTATATATATATATATTTTAAAATTCTTATTAAACATAATTTTCTTTTAAAGAAAATTAAAAAAGACTGAGTTTGTGTACTCTATTTCTTTATTAAACATAAATGTTTATTTATTTATTTTTTTGTTTTCGTTTATGCTTGTATGGTACTCAATTATTGGTCTATAAAGGAAACAAAAGATTAGTTTCAGTGATCATTAACTTTCACACTCTTATTCTTCTCTTTACACTTTCTGATGGCTGCACCTTCGTGCACAAGCGTATACATACAACTATGTGTATCCGGTATTGCCTATTACTTTACAGTCCTACTTCTATCCCGTAACCGTCCCACCATTTACCTTGACAATTTTAATGTTGTTTCCAATTCGTTGACAAACAACGCCACAATCTATTTGGACCTGAGAATCCAGAATGAGAACTCGGGGATAGCCATTTACTACGAGGATCCTGTAAAGCTGACAATCACTTATTTGCAATCAACCGTATCAACCGGCAGCAATGTTATCATCGAACGATCTGCCATTAAAGGTTTTTATCAAGGGAATGGGGAGGTTAAACATATCCAAGCATCTGTGGTGATTCAAGACTTGTTTTCAACGAATGAACAACGAAGGAGACTGGGTGAGACGCGTGTTTCCCTGTATGGTCCAGTGAAAGTGATGGATTTCGTAGTAGACTTGGAGGCCGACATAAAGTTCAAGTCGATTGAGAACAAAAAGTTCCATCTGATGGTCGGATCAGCTGTGGAGGTTAACGACAACACTGGGACATCTGTTCTAAAGACCATTCAAATGAAATATGCTTCTGGATCGAATAAGTGGGGAGTTCTGCAATGGCTACTTGCATTTCCTTTGGTTATTTTGTTAGAGGTTGTTGTAAATTCTGCTTTTTGGTTAGCTTTCCGAGTTTTGGTCTTTGTTTCTCTTTGTCAACCTAATGATACAGCCGAAATTTAAGTTTAACCTTTGATTAATGTTGCTAATTGATGATAGAATGTTATTCGATTACTTAATTAAATCTGTTTTCAAATTAATGGGCTTTTTTACATCTTAAAATTAATGTTAACCAAACCAAATAATGTTTGGTTATATCGATTTTGACTTATTTGGTTTCGGTTTATTTAATTTGGTTGAAAGATTAAATCAAATACGATTCCGAACAACACATCAAACTTTTATTTTATTACCATTTATTTATTTGAGTCTACCCTAATAAATGAAAATGACTTTGCTACATGTCCTCTTCTCATTCATTTGGATACATGGCATTCTCTAGAAATTTTAAATTTTTTTATTTTCCACTTGTCATTTTATTGTATTTTTGATTTTATTAAATTAAAATCCACATTTAATATATAAGGTAATATATATGTAAGGTATTTATTAGAAAATGATTTATATATGTAATGTATCTAATGTATTAAAGTCTCATTAATTTTAATAATTCAAATTTTTTTTATTTTTCTTATAAATTTAAAGTTTTCAAATTGTTAAAATTTTATATTTAATTTTTTTTAAATAAACCCATGTAATACATGGGTCTCACACCTAGTTGTGTAATATTTAATAATATATACAACAAAAAAACGAATTAGTTTTAATTATTAATTATGAAATAATAAGTTAAATAAAAATTTTTTTGACAACTAATCTATACAATTTAAATTCAACGATAACTTCTAATAATAAACGATAAAAATTTATATTTAATTGACTATTCACTTTAACAAAAATAAAAAGGTTACTAAAAACCAAACCACATAAGATCAAATCTGATTAACCAAATCATACCACCAAAAACTAAATAAACCAAACAATCATCTAGTTTGTTATGGTTATTTGGTTTAGGTTTTTCACACGTGAATATATAACATGATAAAAATACATGACATACAATGAAATTAGCATGAAACTTAAATATGTGTTGTTAAAAAATGTCTTGTTCATTTTTTATTTGTGTTTAAAATCCGATACAAAATTCACACGATATTGACATAAATTTGTTGTGTTTGCCGTGCTCTGTATCATTACAAATGAATAAAATAAACTAATCATTATTGCATATTATCTTTCTCTAGTTGTGTCATGTTTATATATACATTATGCATTTTGATTTGTAACTGAGATGTCGAGGATCACAAATAAGATGTGAATAACTATGCAAACATGCCTGACTTGATCGAAGTCCATTATAGTCCCGCATTGAAGTGTCAGGAAACCACACACGCTCCATCAACAACCATAAATTCGAGTATGTACCATCATTTCATCTTTGTTGTCCCACATTAGACTGTCGGTTATCCACGCACGCTCCACTAATGACTCACAAAGAAATGATGTGGGTATTCATGGGTTAGCATAAAGTTTCATATTTTTTCTAAAGTAACTAGAGTGAAATTCTATAAAAAGTTCTAGTAGTTCATACGTTATACTTTTAATGTGATTATGTCCTATCAAACTCGTTCGACTAATGACCCTCCACCACATAAAGAAGCGGTGGATGAAATTGACACCCAGTCAACGATCTTTTAATTGACGCTTCCTTATACTTCTCTTAGAGTGTGGCTTCATGAATGAGACATACGATTGATTCGATTAAATTTTAGTTATACATGTAGTAAATACATTTATACATACATATGTGTGTGTGTCTATATATATATATATATATATATATATATATATATATATATATATATATATATATATATATATATATATATATATATATATATATATATATATATATATATATATATATATATATATATATAAAAGGTGTATTTTAAAACACTTTAAATTGCAATGTTCAAATCATATTAATTCAATTAACCTTTAATAATTAATATTTGAACCAAATAAGATTTGACAATTATCTTTTAATTAAACTCTTAATTAATTTTCATAAATCTTATTATCTTATAATAAATAATTATCTTATTTAATCTTATTTTTATATTAGAAATAGGATTTTTAATTATCAAGTTAATATATTTTGATTTTAGACATTTAAAATAATATAAATTAACTAATAATTCTCCTATCATTTGAATAAGGCAAGAAAATCCTAACATTCAGATTCCAAATAGTCCCCATGACATGGCAGAGGACTGCGAACGTCGTGGCGAAGTAGATTATCGATTTTTATGTTTTGCGTTTTTCATCTTTTAGCTACCGTTAATGTGAAAATGAAGACTTTGATACTATAGGGGGTTTTAGGTTACAAAACAATTATACATACAAAATTTCACTTAACTCTGAAGGGTACATGTATCACACCCCAGCCAATGTCGAAAACACGGGATGGTGAGATGATACCATCGATCACAGTTATAATCATACATTGAACATAAAACGATAATGTAGTAAATGGATATTGTAATTCATTGAAAGAAGTAGGTTACAATATCCCATAGTCTAGGGTACCAGAAAATTAAAAGGTACAAAACGAGCTTTTGTGGATAAGGAACAAAGGAAGTACTAAAATATAAAAAGCGACTGCGATCCCATGATCATCCTTATAGTATGTCTTCTAATAGTTTAAGCTCTAGAGACTACATGTGTTTTGAAAGAATGTTAACTTAAAAATTGGTGAGTTTACAGGTTTCTAATAGCTAAATCAGAACATACTTTTTCCTTAAAGTATAGCTATATTAGAGTTGGTGGTATACACTTTTCGAGACCAAAAAACATTATTTGAATATATATATATATATATATATATATATATATATATATATATATATATTATCCAGAATTTTCATAACTAAGTTTTTGATCAAAAGATATTCCTTATTGTATATCTTATAGGTATTTCAAGTTTCCCATATATATTCCATTCATAATCGAGCTACTTCAGACTGATATGCCTCTTATCACGTTTCATGAGGACACCGATATAGTAATAAGACAATTACCACTCAGTGTGACTTGACCGTCAAGGTTGTAGCTAGCAACTGTAGGTGGGGGTGTCAGCCCATATAGATCAATACATAATAATGCTAATCTTTAGGAATTAACAATTATAAGTCATAGGTCTTTCGAAGTATAGTGATACTTACGTTGATGAACAGAAGGCTCAAATGAAGTTGAAGTTTATTAATAACCCTAACTTTAATAACAAGTTTTTGGTTACTAATCCGACAGTAATATACAATAATACAAATATTTCTTAGTTCGAGGTTCCACAGTAAGACTACTATATTGGGTATTAAAAATAATATTATTACAATACAAACCTACTATGTCTTTTATTTAAATAGATTCCTCATATAGTTTAAATACCATTTTTATAAACCTAATAGAAAGGCAACGACTTACTCGCGCTTTTTGGTGCGTCGACTTATGGCGAATGGCGGTGTTCAGAACCGATAGAGTGAAAGAGAGACATGGCGAGAGATAGAGGGAGGGAGAAAAATGGTGCAGGAATAAAGGGAAGGGGACCCTTCCTTTTATAGGAAGTCTCATCTGGATCTAACGGCAACAATCGATTCTAATCCAATGGTCGATATCATACCTAACTTTTTAACTCTTATCCTCCGTAGGTGACAGGTTTTTGGGAACTTTTGACTGTCAGAGTAAATATCCTTTCATAGCATTTCAAAGTGTTTTTTGGAAATTATTCATTTATAGTAGTGAACTTTCACTTTGTAAAAAAGTCGATATGACATGTGATGCAAAAGTTAGCTCTTTAATCAAATACTACATCAAAACCTAATTCGTAATATATAACTAACTTTTCGATAAGAAACCTAGAAATGATTCTACAGATGGTACGAAGATTACATGGGGAAGAAGACGAACCTTAGCCATTCAATCCTATCATGAATAACTCTAATTTTTTTTCCGGGCATGAAAAGTTAGGAACATGATAACTTCCTATGCTGAATGAGTGTAGCAACGTAAATTTTCAAAGTAATTTTTCATTTCTAAAACATTCATTCATTCATAAGATAATGTTAAACACGTTGTATCAAATGTTATTGTCACAAAACATTTCCCCAGAATGTCTACAAAAACTCCAATGCGTGTCTGTACGAATCATGCCGACGCCTTCCCGCGCTCATCACTAGTACTTGAAACACATAACACAACATCTGTAAGCATAAATGCTTAGTGAGTTCCCCAAAATACCACATACAGCACATACGCCACTCGAGGCTATAATATGACCCTCCGATCGATGTGTCTCAGCGGGACCCTCCAGTCCCGTAGCTCGTTGGACCCTCTGGTCCGGTCATAGCTTGTTGGGCCCTCCGGTCCGGTCTATATCATCATACATCATATAAATATCACATAGCACATAATCTCATACATAGCACATAAGACCCTCTGGTTATCGATAGTACCACTCTAGATAATGTATAGTGAGAAGACTCACCTCGGTGTCTCGGTAAGTGTCTGACTCGGTAGAAATGTGACCCAGCCTCCGCCTAATCACATAAGGTAAATACTCTCATAAATACAACTAAACTCAACCCTAAAAGTCAACAAGGTCAACGGTCAAACTTTGACCCGACTCGTTGAGTGCACTAGGGCAACTCGGCGAATCTACACGTGTCCACTGACTCAATTAGACCCTCTCTTGGCACGTCGAGCACTTCCCCCAACTCGACGAGTTCCACCTGGCATGAATCGTAGGGCCACCCCGACTCAACTCGCCGAGTCTCAAGAACAATTTAGCGAGTTCCAACTCGAACTCAGACCCCTGACTCTCTCTGAATCACCGAGTCATTTCCCCCAACTCGACAAAATGACTCATAAAGCTCCAAGGGTTAAGGTCTCTGGACCTCTTTGGGTCCAGATCCTGAACACAAACTCGAGAAGGGAGCAACTACTCCACTTAATCAACCTCAAAAAGGGTTAGAAAACCCTAAGACTAAGAATCAACACCAAAAACTGAAGAAGGTCCGAGAATAATACCTCAATACAGCCTCTATGAGCTCAAAGACCACCAC